CTGACCCCATCAGTGCCGACCCAACTACACCACCACGCGCATGCCTCGCGGCGGATATGCGCAGCAGCAAGAAGGTTTCGGTCATCCCTTGAGGGTGAGTCTAGCCCTGCTCGCCAGAAAGACCCCCCCCTTCACTACAACCCATGTCTAAGCAAAAGCTTGTCGAGGAGCGAGGGGAAGAAGAAGGAAGAGTGCCGCAAACGATTCTTCTCGACATTCCCCCACATTCCCCAGCGGTTTTTTTTTTCGATCCTAAAATAAAATAAAATTGCATGAGATTTTCTTCCGTGTTTCGTTTTGGACACTGCTGTGGGAGACGAACAGCTCGCATGCACACCAAACACACGCACACCACATCTACCAAGCAGCACATCAGTGGGAACAACAAGTCCCACACATGGGGCGATGCAACACAAAGCCGCGGAAGAGGCCGCGGGGAGGCAACGGATCCTTCGTGTCACGTGCTCCAGCAGCAGCACCGCCACCATGGTCCAGCACAACCCGCGGTTCTGGCCATGTATCTGATACTTTTCCAATGGATGTTGTGGAGGATGACAACACCCACGACGAGGACTGGCGAAGCGAGGATTCTCGTGGTTCCTCACGCGGAGGCCAGGCCTCACTGCAATTCGGGTCCGCGCTTCGTTCAGCAGCTAGCACCGTTGTGTCTGCAGCAGCTCGATCCGCTGTGCAACTCTCTTCAGAGATTGCGCCGCGTTTGAGGGATGCGGCGCAACAACATCGCACCACGCACCACCGCGTACCGGTGTTCATGTCAACCGATTGTTGACCGTTGGTGTTGGGTATGCAGTCGCTCCCACTGGTATGTGAGCGTTGTTGCGTTGTTCTTGCGTATCGCCCTGGATGCGAAGTGCGTGTGTGCGAGAATGTAAATATGCATGTGATCTGAACAGCAGTGGTATGTGAAATGTTTGTATGCATACAAATGCAATAGGATGTGTGCTGGTTGATACGCATATCATATGCATAGGAGTTGTTGTTGCTGTTGTATAAGCAGGGGGTTGCGCGATATGATTTAGGGGGCTCCGTTGTATGATTAGGGGGTTCCGTTGTATGATTAAGGGGTTCCGTGGATCATTTTGGCCAAAAATGTTGCATTTTCCAAAAAATCAATAAAATCTGGCTACCTCCAAACACCGCTCATTCTCTTGGTTGGCAAGCACGTGGACCCAAGTACTGCTGTACGTGGTGTACGCTTTTTTTGGTGGATCTGCGTTCGGAAAATAAATCATCTTTGTGTGATGCGATGCACATTTTGCACGTGGACACGTAAAAGGTTTTTGGTTGAGTTGTTTTATAGCTGTGTTTCATAGTCGCACCTCTTCTAGAAGGACAACACGAGGCAACGAATGCACCAGCACTCAAGAACGACGCACCCGTTTACACAATGCACCCCTTCCTCCCACCGTACCCTCAACATAACACCCTCATACCTCTCATCCCATCGATTTATTAAACCCCCGACAAAGACACAAGTCAACGAAAAAAAAAGAGCTTCACAATAATATCAAAACATCACTCACTCGCCGTACAAATAACACAAACCCAAGAAACCAACGCTACCCTGGCGACCTGTCAGCCTGAACACGATCTGCGCTGCAACCGTCAAAGGAAGTCGCTCATGCACGTCTGCTTGGTTTCCCTCGAACCGTAGGCACTCATCCACGCTAGCTTAGCCTTGCGGAGGTGAAAAAAAGACACTCGGGACATGCGGCACTTCTCGGCAGTATCCTCGAGTTCACCAAAATGGGTTGCTACATTCGCGTACGGCGGCGGAGCCGGGGCCGCTGCCGCCGCCGACTGTCCCGATTGGCGTAGCTCAACCAGGTCGTCGTCCTCGTCGTCAGAGGAACGATCCATGTCCACCGAATTCTCATCACAGAGGTCCTCTACCATCTCTGTTACGATCGCTTCGGCTACCTCCACGTTGTCCTCTACAGACAGCCATGTTCCTACCGCCTGAAGTCATGCGCTCACGGGAGGACAGGCAGTTGTGGCAGATGCGATGCATCTCGGAGGTGCCCTGAGGGTCCACCACACCACAGGTGCCATGGAGGTACTGCCCGCAGACTCCGGTGATTTGTGAACGCCGGCGGGCCTGGCGTGTGATCGGGGACAGCCGTGCAGCGACTGCCCGACGCGCAGGGCATGGTGTCTGCAGCTGTGTGGGTGTGTGATGTGTGTGTCCACGTGGTTTCCATATTGTTCGATTTAAGAGAAAAATCCCAGCTGCAATAGGAAATTTCTCTTAATTAAATCGATTTTGATTGGTACAAGCCAATTCCTCTCTCTTAAATCCGTACTTTCTCTTAAATAAGTTCTCTTAAACCGTAGCCGCTACTTCAATTTTTACGAAGTAACTTTTCCACGTGTTTCTGTAAAAAAAGGATCTTGTTGACCGCATGAAAACCTGCATCAGCTCCCGGGTGGTCGACTATATAGTCTATTGCGATTGCAAAGCTGCTTCGACGCCCCTGGTCAAAAGAACAAAACAACCACAGGTTGGGCGGCGGGTGATGGTTGCCCGCGTTGGGCCTCAGCAATCTCTCCCGGCAGCAGCCAGCCCCGCTCTCTCGTTGGCAGCTCTGACTCTGACGCGGCTGGCGCAACTACAGGTCGCGGTGCCAGATTCTACGAAATCTACGCATACCATTCGGACCGACAGAGCAGAAGAATACTGTTTTTTTTGCTTTTGTCCAGCCGCATTCATTCCCGTTCAAGACAGCAGTATTATATAGTTGACTCGAGAGACTCACCCGCAGGAGCCACACACAACAGCAGTGTTCCAGAGGGACAACACACGCGTACAACACCTCCGGAGCTCGGGAGATCAAGCAGGAAGCCGCAAGACAAAGCATTGCCCCCGTTGCCGACCGGACTTTGTGCCACAGAATCTGTGCGTTGGGGTGGGAGATCCGGATCCTCCACACGATTGTCTGTGTGTGAGCATTAGCCTCGTTTTTGTGTTTTTGCCTCCCGCGGGAGACGAGGACAAGCGAGAGGCGGGACGGGTTTGGGATCCAGTTGGCGGTGGATCGGCAGAGAGGGGAACACGAAGAACGAGTCGGTCCGCTGCGCCCCGGGTGAGTGAGCCCGTATCGTCCGATAGTAATGAAGGACCTAGGGCCGACGGAGGCAAATGTGGTGGTATTTTTTTCCGCCATTGTCTGTTCGCCGAACAGGCATCTGACCACTGTCGGGTCCTCCTCCCGATCCGTGTTGCATAGTCTATGCGTGATGCTGGTTGCCTGGGAACGGAAGTCACCATGTATTTCCTGTGCATCATAGAGACGAACGGAGAGATGTGGCTGCCGAGCATATACTACTAGCTCTTCCTCGAGCCAAGGCGTGAGTCATTGCTTACAGCATTTAGAATCCAGGCCCTTACGAGCTGCACTGGCAGATGCAACACCACAACTCTGCTGTGCCTTGTTTCCAAGTTTGTAGCATGGCATCAGGACATCAGGATCCCGGGTGCCTCCGTCAAAGAAAATCAGTGTGTTGATGCTTCCGAAAGGGAGCGTTGCATGGGCAGCCTTGTTACTTTAACATCCTGAGAATTGCTGCAGGCATCGGTACACCCAGGAGACACCCCGACACACTGTTTGTTCGCGCTTTTGTTGAGCCGTCGGGCCTCGTCATCGAAAACATGCGATCACCATGTCATGTCTCACATCACCGCACTTTACAGAAGACACATCAAATCAGGAGGCGATGGTTGATAGACTGGAGTTTGCAAAGTTTAAGTTTGTCACGCGGCAACTCTGATGATGCCTGCTGTGCACCCTACGCTTGTACCCATGCTGGCCTCTCCTTCGCGCGGAGCAGCAGCAGCAGCGGTACAATTCGTTCATGTCACGACACGGAGCGGAACAACCTTGTTTTCCCGTTCACTGCGTGTATGTACTCGCCACAAGCCGTTTCTTCCGCAACTGACAGCTGTTTGTTTCACACTGCAGCAGCAGTGGTGTACAATACCGCAAGAGGCGGGGAGATGGCACCTCCCCTAGACCGACTTTCCGAGGTGGATTCGATTGTTCCACAGCCAAGGGGGGGGTGCAAAGAGAGCCCGACACGCTTACGTCTGTCTGCAGCAAGCCCTCGACGAGATATTGTCCGCAACCACCATGTTGGTTGTTGGCACAATCAATCGTGGCTGGCTGAGGAGCAAGCAAGCTTTGAATATTGGTCTACATTTTGGGGGGGGTGCCATCTCTCCGCCTCTTACGGTAGTACTTGGAAGGCGAAGTAAATGCACAGGAGTTTGTAGAGACTCTCCAGCAATGAGGCGAAAAAATAAAGGTGTACTACTGCACTGTGTATGCTGTGCAGAAGGTGTTTTAAGGAAATATCTAGACTAGTTTACAACATACAGCAGCAGCATACATTTTTTTTTTCTCCCATCATTGGATTCTGTCGTCTGCCCCTCTGGCCCCTATCCTCCATTTCTACTAGCTAGACGACCCAACCGGGGTCACACAGGGGGGGGGGTTGGACCCCCTCCTGCGGTTCCTGCCTGAGATATTTTTATTGCGAGAAGGGTACAGCAATCCCTTCCCTCGCGACTTACGAAGACTTGTTACTTGCTGTCAGAAGCAGTGGATCTAGACTACTTCAAACTGGAAGGCCTACTATCCGGAGGGAGTTTGGTATGGACGCATGGACTCATCCCTCACCGTCCCCAACACTGAACACGCGAACGATAGAAAACTATAGGACAGAGATAAAAAGCAAAGGGTATCGTAGAGAAAAAGTAGTCACGATTAGTAACGTAAGAGTTTCTTTTTGACCGTGCATGGATGCCCACGAGGACTTAAGGACGGCGACAATAGACGGACCGAATCAACGGCCAATTGGGAGAGACAGAGACAGACAGACAGGCAGACAGGCAGGCAGGCAGACAGACAGACAGAGGGATGGAGAAAAACAGAGAAGAGAGGCAGGTCTCGGCCATGGCGGGCCAAGATGGAGAAGAATTAAACAAAATATTCAGCAATCAAGTTGCACCCAAGAACCCAATCCGAATTTGTTTGAATTTTTCCTAAAATACTCCACCGAAACTATTCCGACCGCAATCTCCGAATAGATATGCTCACTATTCACCCATCGTATATGTTGTGCTTCGAGTATGAATATTCCAACTGATTTTTCCGGTTCCTCCAATCCTCCCCAATCTGTTGCAATTATCCCCTCTCTTGGCTAGTTGCGTGCGACCACGCAGAAGGTGTCGTCAGGCAGCTGGACTAGTTAGTATACTGGTGGTAGGAGGTTTTGAGCATAGACAGGTCGAAACGGTTTTTAATTTGGACAAAAACAATACAACATCGCCTTTGGATATATGAAATATTTCAACATTTCGCCCCTCGCGCTGCCTCGCTGGTCATGACGATTCCAGCAACTGGTTGTCCGTAAAACCCAGTCTGTTCGTTTTTTGTCTCATATCGCTTTAAATAATCAAGGCTGGCACCCTGGAGTTTGTGTCCTGTACACAAGCAGTGGAGTGTACGTGTTTCGCACTTGACTGCGCAGAACTCAAGAGGGACGCGTTCTGACCAAGTAGAACAACAGGAGCACATCGAAGCACGCGGTTACCATGAGAATCTTTTACCTTCATCCTCATCCTCCCAACTTGTCGTCCCTACGGAGTCATGGTGAAGTATATATGTGTGCGTTTGTGAGCCACGCAGCTTACCGTCCCTCGCTGTTTATCTTGATGTCGCTCGATGCTTCTGCCACACGCTCCATGTAAGCTAAAACCTACCCGGACCACCGCTGCTGCTGCCGCGTAGACTCCGCCCAGGCGCAGACCAGGCAGTACAAACAAAGCAGAGAGCATCCACTTGAGATAATCGAGAACGGCCCTGTAGGGCGGGGGGGAGGGGGAGGTACACGGCGAGCGAGGCTCGTGAGTTGTGGATCAAGCCATGAGCGGTACCGAGCGCTCAAATTCCGGCAATGGCCGGGCACGAGGCGCGAGCCAGAAAAGCGACGAGCGGTCACGCGAAGCTAACCGCATCCACTGCAAGGAAACCCGGGACCGTCGGCGGGAGAGGGAACGCGCCCTCAGTGAGGTTCGTGGCAGCCGGGGTAGCTAGCCGCGCGTAAGGCGCACGTCGGCGAAATCATTTTTCGTGCTCGTGGGGTAGGGCGCTTCGAATAGTTGAAAGGAGCCTTCCCACCGAACTCTGGGTCGGCTTGACCAAGGGTGGGGATGGGGGGGGGAGTACTCATCGTCGTGCATGCCGTAGTCGTTAGACCATTCTGGAGGGGGGGGGG